TTCGCATAATTGAGTTGAAGAAGAAGGTTCAGTGGCTCGAATAGACGAGATTACCATGCTTAAGGTATAACATTTACTTTTCCTTCATTTGTATTTTTTTTGTTAATAGCGTTTTAAAAAATCTGCATGAGCTTTTAGTACGAGTGGGTTGGGTATAATTGTTTATGCATACATAATTATAGAACCAAACTAGTTGCATGCATCCTATATCTTTAGTTTTGTCATATGGTGCTTTTGCATGTGACTCTTGCATAAATGGGTGTACCCATAACCACATGAACATAATCAAGATGATCCAACTAACATATTATTAGATTTAAAATAAATTTTAAAATGATGCTTCTTAAAATTAATAATAATATACTTTAAAAAAATATAAATATTTTAAAGATGTGCATTCAAAAAAAATAACTATTTTTTTTATATATTTTAGAAATTGATCTTTTAAAATGAATTTTTAAGAATGTAAAAAAAATGACTTTTATAAAACCTTTAAAAATTATATAAATATTAAAATGAAACAATTTTTTTTGAAAGAGACATAAAGTAAAAGCTTTGTTGACCTACTGCTATGGCCTATCATGAAGCTTAACAAAGTTTGGTTAAATTTAATGAAACTGTAGTATTGTGTATAGTAAGGGAATGATGAAGAAAAAAAAAAACAGCAAACTTATTGATTAATATCTCATGATGCAGAGAGAGAATGAAGAATTGGCTGCAATGTGTATGCTGCTCAAAATGCTTGCAAATGCTGAGACAAGAACTACAACATAGAAACGGTATACATCATTTAATATTTGTTTATGCCTTAAAATGTTGAATGTGTTTCCATTTGCTTGTTTTAACTTTAAAACATGAATATCAAGATGGCTACACTATATGATTGTAGACATTAGCGAGGCACTGAAGGAAGAAGCGCAGGGCCTTGGGGAAGAAAATAGGATTTTGGATGTTTTATTATTAATGTTTTTAAAATGGCTTCACAATTAGTGGTGGAATGGTTAGTAAGAGCATGTTTGGATATAGTTTAGAAAGATTTTTGAGAGTTTTTTATACTGAAAACAAAGACTATTTTTTCAGTAAAGAAGTTCTTAAAAATTCTTATAAACTCTTATCCAAACATGATCTGATTATGCACCTGAGCAAGCACAACACAAGCCTCATGTTGGCATGTCTTTCCTTTTCCCTTTTCATGAATTTTAATGAGCATATGTAGCTTATAATTGCAGCAGTAAATGTTTGGAAATGTGAGACTTTTGAGTTGTGAAATGATATTATATATGCAGTTATGTGTTTTTAGTGTGTTGTTTATCTTCTGAAGTTTATTTTGGTTCTTGGATTGTATATGTGGAAAATTTTACGGTACTCGTTATAATTGTGGGTACTGGAATAGTCGTTTATTTATTTATTTTTATTGTAATTCTTTTATATATTTTAATTTAATATTTTTAATAATTTATCTTTATAAATTTTCTAAATTTTTATATTTTTTAACTTTTATCTTAATGTAGTATTTATTATAATTAAATAATTTAATATTAATATTTTATTAATACATTTTAATTTTTCTTTTATATTAATTTTTTGAATTTATAATATAAATTAGTTTTTCAGTTGTATTATTTATTATTTTTCTTTCTTATTTTAATATTTTTATAGTATTATTATTCTTTTTGTTTTGAATTTTTTAATTCTGTCACATATAAATAAAATTTGTTATGAAAATTGATCTTTTAATTATTTTTTTGAATTAGTCTTTTTGATTGATTCATCTTCTACAAATTTTTAATCTAAAATTTATGTTATTTTGAATTTATTTTTTAAAATTTATTTATTCACATAATTTAAGGTACCAAAACCCTTCAATTATCATGGGTAAGATAGGAGTTCCCAAATATCCATTGTTTAGGGAACTAAAAAATATAAAATTCATAAGTTGGTTTAATTATTTTTCTGAAACACTCTAAAATATCAAAAAACAATTGTTCGTAAATTGAAGGGTGCTATTTAAGCAGAAAAACACAATAAACCGAAGTGATAAGTTGTTCGTAAACTGAATGATGCTATTTCAACATAAAAACACAATAAACCGAAATTATAAGTTAATAAAATTAATGAGCTGTGGTATTATCTTACAATAAGAAGGAAAAAAAAAAAAAACTGATTTTCAACCGGTACACCATAACAATTTTTAGTGACGATATTATGGTAACAAAAATGTAATTGTAACTAAGTTAATTATAAATTATATGATTTTTGTGATCAATAAATATTAACTATTAAAATTTATTATTTATTAGTCATTATTTTATATATGTAATCAATTTAATTATTTTTTTATATATATAATTTAATGATGTTTACCAACATTCTATATAAATGTCAATAATAATATTAGTAAATTTGAATATATTGGTCATTATTTAATTGTTGGTAGAAAAATAATAATAACTTTTATATAATTCTTGAAAGACAAAATAATGATCTTAAAAAATGAACTTTGATATAGTGAGAGAATCGTATAGAAAATTAGAAGGGAAGGTAATCATAAATAAAAAAAATAAAAAATTAATGGCCTTGTTATTGTGGTGGGCTTATATAAATGCACGTACGTTAAACTTTATCCTTCGATTTTTCATTGACGTTGGATTCTATGCTACCTAATGTTCTTCGATTCCAAAAGAAAGAAAACACCAATCATACAATCTAAGACGGGCATATTGATCTTGTACAAAATCTTTTAGATAAGCATACAGTAGCTTCTAGTACTTTGGGGTCAATTTTTTTTTTTTTTTTTGAGGATATCAAACCTCAACACTTAATTGGTGGAAAATAAAATAGAACAAATGAATTTGAGGGGGATTCAAAATTTGCTAATCCCTATCATCAATGAATGGGTCGTGTTTAACTTAATTTGTTTTGTCTGTTAAAGAAAATCTACCAAAAATGTTTTTTAGTTGAAAAATAATATCTTGAAACATTCTTGTTGAAGATAACAATTTTAATTTATATACGCAGAGAAATTTGGGGGCTGCAACTTATTGACAAATTGGAAAAAGGGTGCTTATAAATTGAATTGATTCTGAAAATAATGTTAATTTTGTCTAAATAGATTTTTGATTTATTTGATTCAATTCAATTTAAACCAATTCAAAATGAATAGAATTTTCAATTTTAATCATTATTTAAAAGACAAAGTACGTTTTTCTTTATTTGTCTTTTATATATATATATATATATATTATTGTAAATAATAATTTTAATATTACATACAAAATTTGATGCATATATATTTGTTGAATAACACTTAATGCTAACTCTGTCCAAAATGATCGGGTAATTCGAGTTCCTCTTACATATGTATTGGGAAAAATATATAATATATAATTATATTATTAATAAGAGTATAAATAGACAAACAAAAATGTTAAACTTATATATATATATATATATATTTTATTAAGTTCTTTATTTGTCTTTATAATTTGAAATCTAATTAATGATTATTAAAGTGTATGAGTGAAGTGGATTGCTTGATCTTCTGAATTTACAAAAACGTGTTGGAAAGTATTTAACGAATTCATTTTACTCAACTTGAAGTGATCGACACCCAAGTGATTTCTAGACATCGAGGGTCTTAAAAGAATAGATAGTACATTTCTACCCAACAATACTTATATCTAAATCCAACTTGAATGCTTATACAATCGTTAGATAAATAAATTTAGAACCTGTTTAGATATAGTTTAGAAATTTTTTTGAAGATTTTTTACTAAAAATAAAAATATATTTTTTAATAAAAAATTTGTTACAATTTTTTCTAAAATTGTATCCAAATATGTTAGTAACATTTTAAAACTCACTTTTCAACGCATCCTATTATTATCAAGCAAATCTTTATGGTGTGTTTGGATGATGAATTTTACAAATTTAAGAAATTTTAAATTCTTGGTATTTGAATTACTTTGATTTCAATTTCTATCATTCTTAAAATATTTTATTTGGATGAGTCAATTCAAATTTCTTAAATTTTAAATTGTTAGGTTGAATATGATAATTTGATTCCATCATAGTAAAACTAATTTTAAAAATATATTTATATGTTGAGATTTTTAAATTAAATTTTATAAAAATAAATATTAATTCATTTTTAAATATTTAATAATTTTAAAAATTAATATTAGATAATATTTAATAATTTTAAAAATTAATATAAGATAATATTTAATAATTTTAAAAATATTTTTGAATATCCAATAATTAAAAGAATAAAGAGATAAGATAAAATATATAGGTGAAATAAGAAAAATAAATATGAGGAATTTCAAATTCTCTCATTTTTGGAAGAATTTGAAATTTTACTATTTTAAGAAATTTCACAAATGCTTGAATTTCAAATTCTTTGTAAATTTCTCATCCAAACAAAGCATTTCACCTCAAGGAATTTGAAATTCTTCAAATAAATGAATTACCCTATCAAAATTCCTCATCCAAACACACTATTAGAAATTTTCACCAAAATGAGATAAGCTAGGATATTTTAGTGAGATTCATGTAAAATACACTCTCTAAACGAGATTGTATTAGAAGGAATTCATCGAGGGTATATATAGAAAAGGTGCTAAAATACTTATGACAAACGAATCTTGAAATTTTATATTAAAATACATTGCTTTCGTCTCTTATCCTAATACAAAATTCAGATAACTATGCAGTTAAAGGCAGACAAGGTAGCCCAAGGACGGCAAATTAACATTTTGTTTGTTTCAAAATGTCTAAATGCACTACATGTGTCAACCCACCACTCAACATCATAACACCATCAACAAGAACAAAGAATGCCATGAGATTCAACCAAAGATTTTTTTTGGATTTAACCCTTCAAAATGTTCACAATACATGTCGTCACCTTTTCTAAGTAACAAAGGCCTGCATTTTAATTGGTTATAAATATAAATATAAACATATCATAGATGTCCTAAGCACAAGGTGCTCAAGAAAGAGATACACTTTAATCAACTACTAGTGCTATTTGGTGGTGGCTGTAAGTGGGAATGGAGCTTATCAATGTGCTGCTTTCATTGATCCTTTGCTTATTAGTGTTATCAGTTCTCTTTTTGATGTATCTTACTCGTTCTCCTAAAGCAATGGAAGGCATCCCTGGCAACCTTGGTTGGCCTATTGTGGGAGAGAGTTTCTCATTTCTCTCTGACTTTTCAAGTCCTTCTGGGATCTTTAGCTTTATGAACAAGAGGCAAAAGAGGTAGCAAATTAACACCAAAACTCAGAACCTTGTGTGACTATAAAGTTTAATTTTGATATACTGTTTGTGTAAACCAATTAAGAATCATGCTTGATATGACTTTTAAAAGTTTATTTACAAAAGTCTACAAATATTTAACTATATCTATGATTAAATATTGTAATTTTTGAATTTTTGTCAATTTTCACTTTTAGAATTTGATATAAGTTAGAATTGTTTTTTAGAGTTTTTTTAGTAGACAACTAATTTTTTAGTAGAAAAATTGTTAAAAATACTTCTAAACTTATATTTAAATAGACTTTTAATCTTTAAACAAATTTTATTTGATTTTAGTTTATAAAGTTTTTCTCCAATGAGTAAAAATCTTGACGTCAAGAATAAAAATGTTATATAAGAAAAGTTTAGGGGACTAATAGTGAAAATCTTTATAAGTTAAAAGACTATAAGTTATAGAAAAAAAAAATATTCGAAGACTAAAAATAAAAATCAACAAAAGTTAAAGACTAAAATCATATTTAATTTTATATATCAATTCATGATTGCATCACAGTATAAAAAATATCAATGTATTTCAATTAAATTCATAATTATGTGCTGGGTGCTAAAGAATTTGAAGAATTTTCTTTTTCTTTGATCACTTTTATTTTCTCACAGATATGGAAAGATTTTCAAGAGCTTTGTGCTGGGGAGGTTCACAGTCTTCATGACTGGAAGAGAAGCAAGTAAGATATTGTTAACGGGCAAGGATGGGATTGTGAGTTTGAATCTGTTTTACACTGGCCAACAAGTTCTTGGCCCCACCAGCTTGCTGCAAACCACCGGAGAGGCACACAAAAGGCTAAGAAGACTGATAGCTGAACCTTTATCAATTGATGGCCTCAAAAAATATTTCCATTTCATCAATACTCAGGCAATGGAAACATTAGATCAATGGCAAGGAAGGAAAGTCCTGGTTCTTGAGGAGGCTTCTACAGTTGAGTTACACTAAGCTATCAAATAAAGAAAATTTCATATTTGGTTATACACATTATTATTGCATACTAAGTACTTGAAATTGTGAACTTTGTACAGTTTACTCTAAAAGTGATTGGACATATGATCATGAGTTTAGAGCCTTATGGGGAGGAACAAGAAAAGTTTAGGTCAAATTTTAAGATCATTTCTTCCTCATTTGCCTCATTGCCTTTTAAACTTCCAGGAACAGCTTTTCATCGTGGTATCAAGGTAATAAAGTAATACTTATGGTATATTTGGATATAAGTTTAAAAGGACTTTTAAGATTTTTTTACTGAAAAATACTATTTATTTTCGGTAGAGAATTTTAAGTCATTATAAATTGTATTCGAACATGTTCATAATCAGCCACACACAACTAAGTAGGTGTACTGATTCAATTATGAAGAAAACTGAACTCTTCTTTACACTGATGTTGTGCTATGCATGTGTGCAGGCTCGGGATAGTATGTATGAGATGTTGGATTCTATAATTTCGCGGCGGAGAAGTGGCCAAGACTTTCAACAGGATTTCTTAGGATCCTTAGTTATGAAACACAGCAGAGAAGATGGAGGACAAGATGAAAATAGACTCACTGATAAACAACTGAAGGATAATATATTGACTTTGTTGGTTGCTGGCCATGATACCACAACTGCTGCTCTTACATGGCTTATCAAATTTCTTGATGAAAATCCATCTGTTCTGGAACAATTGAGAGTAAATATTAATGATCCTGTATTCTTCTTCTTTCCATGGTTAAGATTATGAGTTATAGCTTCATGAATTATGATGTTTTGCAGGAGGAACATAGACAAATTGTTGCAAACAGAAAGAGTGGAACAGATCTTACATGGTCCGAAGTTAATAATATGCCTTACACAACCAAAGTAAGCATCAATTTGACAATGTTTTAGTTTGATTGCATCTTCAAGTTTTCACAGCTCACCAAGATTATTGGTCATTTAATAAAATTTCAGGTGATTAGTGAAACTCTCCGGAGAGCCACAATACTACCTTGGTTTTCAAGAAAGGCATCCCAGGATTTTGAAATTGATGGTATGACAATACAAAATGGCCAAACATGATTGTACAATGTGTGAGTGTGTGCCTATTGAAAATGTTGTTCTTTTTTTGACAATGATTTTGTTAAAATGACAGGTTGTAAAATTCAGAAAGGTTGGTCTATCAACCTAGATGTTGTTTCTATACATCATGACCCAGAAGTTTTCCCAGATCCTGAAAAGTTTGATCCCTCTAGATTTGATGTAAGTTTTATCCTCACGAGACTCCAAATAAACATTTCTTTTGCTAAGGATCCAATACTGATATTTCATTAATTCAATTGCAGGGACCCTTGAGGCCTTTCAGCTTTCTTGGATTTGGTAGTGGACCACGTATGTGTCCTGGAATGAACCTTGCCAAGATTGAAATCTGTGTCTTCATCCATCACCTTGTTAACAGATACAAGTAAGATGAGAACAAATTCTGAATAATGTAGAGAATCATGTTGCATCCAGAAAAAAGAATAATCACACAATGGCTTAATTTTATATTATTTTTTTGCTGGATTTTCCAAAATAACACTTGTTCCATTATATTTTATTTTTCTGTTTTTCTTCACCATCTTCTCTTCTGAAATCATTTTGCTTGTTTAAACTAAATATTCCATTGCAAGTAACAAAAACATTTGCTGCAGGTGGAGAACTCTGGAGAAAGAAAATTCTGTCCAACCAACGCTTGTAAGGATGCCAAAGAATAAGTATCCTATTATAGTTGAGGCACTATAAGAACACTCCTCCAGGAACTACATACAAATAACGGAAGAAGTGATAGCAAAGCAAAATCTCTTGTATATGAACAGAATCATTGTCCCATTAATGTTACATCACAGAGAGAATGAACTGAATTGTGTTTTGTCACTTGTAAAGAAAGAAACTAATTCTCAATGAATAATTTTGCATTTCCTTTTTCCGTATGTTGGTAATGCTAGTATGGAGAGCAACTAAAAATAATTATGATCATTTTCAAATTGACAAAATGCCTGTTGATTCTATTTCTCTCCCCTTGTCATTAATATTTACTCATCATTAGTCATTAGACACTACATAATTTAACAGACCGTATAAGCGCGGTTAATAATTCTAAAAATTGGTACAAGAAACTGAAAGTGGCATATTCAAATTTCACTAACACACACAATACACATTGTTTTAAATCACAGTCCGCAATCACAACTGCGGTTTCAACCCACCCATCAAGGATTTTGAGGCCTTGTTTTGTAATGTATATTGTTAGCTATTTCAAAAGTTGATTATATTGATGCTCAATATACACATTGTTGTATATATCCTGGTCCTGTTAAAGTCTTTGCAAGTCAATTCGTGATTGAAGCTTCAAAACAAGAAGATTAGGCTGATGAACACAAGATTGGAATGGTTTAAGTGATGGGTTTTCCTTTTTAGGATGAGAGAAAAAGAAGAGATAAATAAAAATAAAATAACAAATAGAAAGAAAGATAGTATGAGACATTTGTAAGGAACTCAAAGAAAGAGAGAAGGAGAAAAACTCTTCTTAAACTACGGTTATCTATTTTGTTACACACTTTGACTATAAAAATCATCCATGTTTTCATTTCTATGTACATATGCTGCAAGAGAAATCAAAACATAGAAGGTTTTGAGAAAAAGAGAATCTCATTGTTTGTAGATGAGAAAAATTCTTTTGAGAGAAAAATCCAAAGAGAGTTTAGTCACCAATATTTTAGTGAGATTATTATTACAACTTTTGTAATCCCATTAATTTATAATGGAAGATATATTTATTATCTTGTTGTAATTATACATGATATGAGAAAAGTCTGATCGTGTAATTATTAATTGTCTTATATAAGATTATTATGTATGGTATCTTTTCCATCATTAAGTTCACTCAATTGTAGTTCAAATAAACTGATTTTTCTGAGGTTGTTCATCATATTGGAATGTCCAAAATTACTATTAACTCAAATTAAAAGCCAAGTCTCATTTTTTTACAGCTATGAAACTCCTGTCAATTCCAATAGCAGCGTTGGGAACAACCGTAATATAATGTTACAGAGGAGGAAGAAAATGAAATGACCGTTTGACATAATAAGTGAAGATATGTATAGAAACTCTAAATTTGATAGATGAAAACTCAAACCATTCAATTATACATTTATTTATAAATCCACTCAAGGCGTGAATATCTAGTTTAAATAACATGCTTGGAATTTTTGGCAAAGCATAATTGTATTTGTATCGATATGGCTGTAACACAAGGGATGCTAATATATTGCTTTAGAACTGTTATCCGAGAGAATTTGCAAGAAGCACTTGAATTAAAAGGAAACAACATTACAAACATATTATACAACACTAATAACAATTAATTGATTTTTCTTACAAACTAATTAACTACTCTTAACACCCCTCAAAAAGCGATAAGTGGTATTACCACAATCACCTTGAATTATGTACAACAAAAAACATAAAAATGAAAAAAATTCTAATATTTTTTTTACAAAATATATAAGAAAATTGACAAAAAAAAATGTGGCCCAATAAGACCAAAGCCCAAACCAAATTACAAACTTGGTTTCCCATGATCGCACGTGACAACAACACTAGGACAACGAAGAACCAAGATCACACGTCATAGCAACATTGCAGCAAGAAGAATCAAGATCGCACGTCACAGCAGGCAACACTGCAGCAAAAAAACAAGAACGCAGAAACGGCGATGAGTACAACTCTAAGATGAAGTAATTGATGGACATGTCTTGAATCTGGAATCTCTCCGTAAGCTTCTCCTCTGCGTTAATCTCAAAGCTTCCCTCGTCACTAACTCGGATTCATAGTGTTCAAATTTCAGACTTTGCATGATTCTTTTCATCCACAATATTAATATTATCACTTAGTTACACCATTTTTTGAATTTTTAAATATGATAATATATAGCTCAATATTTAATTTAAGGCTTCAGTATTTAATTTACAGTTAAAATATATATACATTTTTCTTTTTGAGTTTTCTTGTAGTCCTTGTGAACCCCAGACTTATTCCTATGTTGATCTGAATCTTATTAATTACTTGATTGATCTAACCTTATTAATAACAGAAAATAACACTCAATCAAATGCTACAAGAGATTTATCTGCATTCTTGAACTTAACAACAACTTCTACTCCAAAGAGAGCAAAACGTCTAATTTTCATCACCATCAACATATATTCCAACATCTTCACAAGATGTGGTGTTGTCATCACCACAAGAGACTAAGTTGTAATCAAAATTATCCTCCTTAATTTGGAACCTGACAATCTTAATTTGATGATTCGGGTAATCTGCTATATTGCCAATGCCCACGTACCACACATTGGCTGATTCATCCATGACTAGCATCCAGGGGGAGGAATTATCATAGTTTTGAACATGATGAGTGAACTTGATGCTCACCATTTCATCAGTGAGGATGATCATTGTTCGTTGACTGTTTGAGATTGATAGTGGCAAACCAAGGGAGTTGTTCAAGGCAGATTAAACAACTGCAAGTGGGAGTAGTACTGGACCTCCGAGTCTAAGTAGCACACCTGAGAAATCGCCTATTATTGTCTATACTTAGTTCTCTTCGGAGTTCCTAACGCTGTTCTATACTTGACATGATTGAAATAGGTCAAATGCTGGATTCGGTAGGGTTTATGTCACCTAGACTGCTCAATCTCAGTTGTTAGAGATCTTCGAGTTGAAATGCGTGACGACGCATAAGTTGTTAATGAGTTGATTTGTTGTTGATAAGAGTTGTATCTATGTTAATGAGTTGATTTGTTGTTATGTTGTAAGTTGTGTTGAGGTGTTGATACAACGTTGATATGTGGAATCAAGTTGAAATGATATTAATATTGATAATATATGTGTTGTTTATCTTTTGTGTCGGATGTGAAGGTGATTATATAGTTGTGTTTCATATTTGATATTTATGAGTTGTTTGTTGTCTCTAGCTTACCCTTTGCATGTTTCCATGTGGTTTGGACTGTGATGATCATACGTTGTATGGGAGCAGAGTAGGGATAGGCAGGGAGATAGCTGCTAGAGGCCACAAGAGATGCCTGGAGATGGATATTTTTTTGTAGGCTACCTTATAGTAGCATACTTTGTTGTATATAATTGATTGTTGTTGGTTGCTTGATTAGCAACTTGTGCTGTAAATATTTTATTATACTATTTTAGTATATATATTCCAGTAGTGTATAGTGTTGTTTCGTAGTGTAGCAGCCACGGCCGGTCGTTACAAGTCCCCAAAATAAGAATATTTGTGTTGTTTCCAAATTTCATGGTAGCTTCTACTATTTTATCTAGAGATGAAAATAACTCATTTTTCCCACACATATGATTTCAACATTCAATATCTAGATACCAAATATTTTCATCCTCGAAAAATGTATTGCTTGCCAAAAATAAACTTTTTGGGTTGTATGAATTCTCACCAATATTTTGATGACTTTCTACCACATTCATATGTTATTTAAATCTACAATTTGTAGCTTTGTGCCCAAACTTTCCATAGTAAAAAGAATTAAAATTTTCTTTTTGTTGATAATTGTTACCACGCCTTCTTCCTCATATGGTAGCGCCAAAATTATTTTCCCCTCTTCTTTGGTTGAATGATACAAACTTATTATCTCGTCCTTGATAGAAATTTCCACGTCCTCTACCTTTATAGTTTCCTTGATCTCTTACTCTATAACTTCCCCTTCCTCCTTTATTATAATTATCACGACCTTTTCTTTTTGCATCTTGACTGGATCTATTATTTATTGTAGTCACCACATGATCAAACTTCATCAACATCATTTGAAGAATTTTCTCCACCACTTTACTATCAGGAACATCTTCTCCATATACTCTCATTTTTTTGATAAGATTTGTAACACGTGAAAAACATTGTTCCACAAATTCAGAACTTGACATCTCATATCTTTTCACTATTAAAAAAATGTCATTTTCTTACGAATTTTCTTACAAAAGAATATTCACAGATTTTTTTTACGAATTTTCTTACAATAATAATTTTATAAAAAAAATTTACAAATTTATTTGCGTAAAATAATTTATAGAAATTTCTTACAATCTTTTTATGAAAAATAATCTATAATTTGTTTTTTTACAAATTTTGTTACAATTTAATGATCATAGAAAAAAAATTTCATGATAAAAATTAGTAGAAAATGTTGTAAAGGATTTTATCTTGTTTCTTACAAAATTTCTTGTAAAAATAAATTCGCAAGTAATGTTTACTAAATGGTAAAAAATTTAAAGGTAACTTTTCTTGCAGATTTTTATACCAATTTTAATCTGCAAGAAAAATAATATATATATATATATATATATATATATATATATATATATATAGATAAGTATTTATGATGTTAGAGACTTAGAGTGTATATGTATAAATGTAAATTTAGTGACCAGAATTTTTTTTGAGGACATGATGTGACAAAACTTTGTTAATGGTAATACTCACCTTATAAGTTGATTTTGTATGGTTAACTATTAGACTTATAATTTACAATCTAAAAGTTTAAAATGTTATCTATCACATGTTAGAGGCATGAAAGCGAATTTCTTAATGCTTTAGATAGTAATTTCTTTGATTTTTTTCGTAAAAATTTTTCCTTTAGAATTTCTTGCAAAAAAATTTGCAGGAAATTTCATAAGAAACTTTCCTACGAATTTTTTTCGCAGGAAACTTTCTTGCAAATTTTAAAATTCACAAAATTACATTATTCACAAAGATATTACCTAGAGATAAAATTTCACAGAAAAACTTGTAGGAACAACATTTCCTGCGAATTTTTATGCAAAATCCGCATAAAAAATCGCATGTAATTAGAGAAATTCTAGTAGTGTTTGTAATCCCTTCATAGAGATTGCAACTTGGATTTTTGAGCTTTCTCTACTCCTTTATGTGATAGCTTCAAAATACGTCACGCTTCTTTGTCAGTTTTGGCATTTGCAATTTTGTTAAAAGTAGAATAATCTACTCCTTGGTGAATTTGTGATAACACTAATTGGTCTCTCCTCCTAATTGTATCACCAACTCTTTCTACTAATCTCAATTCAACAAAGCTACAAATATTATAAGCTCTCAAGTATCTGGCCATTAAAGTTTTCTAATAACTAAAATCTAATTTCTCATCTAACTTTGGACTAGACCAAATAATATTGTAACCGATAGTCATATCTCTCTCAAAGATATAACAACTCTTTCTTTCTTTCTTTTTCTTTCTCTATATATATATATATATATTCCATTACGTATATTTATTTATTTGAATTATTATCACTCAAAAAATAAATATACGTAATGAAATATATATATATATATATATATATATATATATATATATATAAATAAAGAAAGAAGGGAGGAAGAATCTTTCTTCTATAACTCAATATCTTGATTCATTTTGATTTTACTAAAAATATGATACTTAACTATGATGCAGCATGTTGCCTTTTATAGGTGATACAAACTATTAAAATAATAGAACTTAGTGGCTAAGAATGGTACATATCTTAATAGGTAAGTTAGCAAATTACGTGCAATATTTTTTTACTATTTTTTAATGCTTAGTTGCTAAGTAAATATGGCGGTGCCGCTTGATTTAATATTTTTTTACAATTATGATCTATAGGAAATTTGTATATCTAAAACTTAAATTCAAAACCAACAACTTATTCATGCTTATGCACTTGGTGAATCAACATAATAGTAATTTATCTTTATTCTTTTCCTATAGATATTGATACGCTAAAAAAGTTAATAAATAAACAAAAATAATATAATATTAATAAGGATGAATTCACTTATTCTAAAAGGAGATGTTTGGTAAGGGAGAAGCTTTTAGTTTTCAGAGAATCTTAGACGCAAAATGTTAGTTTTCCATGTTTGGTATCTATTTAAAAAAAATCCAAAAAATATTGTTTCCCAAGAATATTTTTATCCCATTTTTACACAAAAATATTTTCATGAGGAGGGTTGAAAATTTAAGTTTACTAGCTAAACGAGAATATTTTAATTATTTAAAAATCACAATATTCCTTTTTAAAATAAAAAATATATAGTTGAGTTTCATCTTTCTTATCTAACTTATCTAACTTTCTCTCTCTTTCCTTCTATTTCTTTTTCTCCTACTCTTTCTCTTTCTCATACTCTCCTTCTCTCTTGCTCTCTCTCTTTCTCTCCCTCCCTCCCTCTCTCCCTCTCCACCCTTTTTTCTCTCTTCTTCCTATATCTTTATTTGTCTCTTTCTTATATCACATTATTTTTTGACCTTATCAATTTTAATAATATTATTAAAGTTTATTTTGTCTCTATAATTTAATGATATTTGTCAAATTTTTTATTTTTAATTTTTTTTGAATGAAATGCAATAATATATTTTTATCCTTCTTAATTATAAGGTAGCAACTTTCTTTATTTACTTCTTTTGTTGAATGTTGTGTTTAAATAATTTTTGCTATCAGTTTTTAACTTTTTAAAATAGTTTAAGTTTTATCAAATGCAAATATTATTAAATAAGAAATTTGTTTATATATGTAATTATTTTTTCCTTATCTTCAAAATGTAATTAAATTATAAAAAAGTTTAATGTCATATTTGTAATAAGATTTGAGTAAATAAAAACATCTAATGAAATTATTTTAATAAAGAATATTTTTGTAAAAAATATTTATATAGGAATATGTTATTATTGTAACCAAACTTAAAAAAATTTAATTCGTGGAAATCTTATATAAATATTTCCAAGAACCTTTATGAGTTTCTAAACAGATTTTACCTATTTCCAAGAATCAAGATTCTCAAGATTCATGATTCTTAAGTATGAAAAAACTTTTCTCCAACCTAACGTCTCCTAAGAGTAAGTCTACTTTAACTTACTCCACTCAATAACTCATTTTTTTCTACATCAAATTTCAACAATGCAACTATATGATCAAAAGTTTTTAATGCATGGATCAAGTTTACAAATTTTTTTAAAAAAAATTAAAAATTATTTCATATTGTGTTTTATTAATTCAAATCAACATATAAAATGCTTTTATGATTATTCATCATTTTGAATTAATGAAATGGAGTATTAAATAGTTTTCAATTTTTTAAAAAAAATTTGCAAACTTGATCTATACATTAAGAATTTTTAATTTAATGGTTGAATCGTTAAAAAATGTAATGTAAAACATGAGTTATTGAGTAGAGTAAGTTTAAGTAGACACACTCTTGAAGTAAGTTGATCCCTCCTTAATGTTAATTGTAATGAATTCCAGCATTTATTTTTTCTAGACACTTTTTTCAATGTATCTTATTCTATCTCATAAAAGTCGTCATTCATTAATTTATTAAACTTTAAATTTATAATAGTTTTAAAAATTTTGAAGGAAAACGTAACGCATATTATAAAAATGGAGAAAAAAATAAAAAGTTAAATCATATTTAAATTGGGCTAAGATACGAGGATCGAGAAAAGCAAACCAAAACAAACCAACAATTACCTCCTTCTCCACTCCTCCTTCGTCAACAGTGTCTTGTAGATTAGTGTATCATTTGGTTTGTGTAGAGACATTAGAATCAACAAACATGGCTAATATCTCATTTGCCTTATCATTTCTGAACTGTTCTTCTTTGTTGAGTGATATAAACAATTTACAAGATGATATATTGGTAGAAATATTCTTTCGAATGCCATACAAATCCACTGTGAAATGCAAGTGTGTGTGCAAGCGTTGGTTGAAATTGCTTTCAATCCCTTATTTTCTGAAACAATTTGTGTCTCGCCAATACTCTCTTTCCAAGGCCATCTTCACCTTCATTTCACCTTCCCAACTCATGCTCACTTTCCCCCCTCCAGATTTAGACTCCAATCCTCAAGCCCACAAGGCTCCTTTTTCACTAGATCAGATGCTCATAAAAGGGAATGTGTGTGGCTATTCCAACGGCTTATTTTTGTACTACAACAACAGATCCACATCAGGTAGGGGTTACTTTGTGTATGATCCACTCACCAAGGTATGCACCCACATAGCTCCCTTTCCTGACACAAATAAGAAAGAACGCATATATGCTATTGGCTTCCTTTCCATAACCTCAAATTCTACTCGTCGTTTTTTGGTGGTGATTGTGAATTCTTTTATAAAAAGCCTAGATAACTTTAGTATGGAGGTTTTCTTCTCGCATACTGGTATATGGAGACAAATGGTTGTGAGATGCATAAAGGGATTTACTTTTGCTCCTCATTGGAAGCTTGGTTTGGCACATAAAGGAAACCTTTATTTCATGGGCACAAAGGGTGTTTTTGTGATTGATCACCTTTTTGTGGTCAATTATACAATTGATTATCCTGAAGATGTTGATGCTATGAATATAGTGAGATCTGGATACCTGGGATGCTCTGGTGGGACTTTGAAGATTGCAGATATTAACAATGATAATAATTTGAGAGTGTGGGAATTGATACAGATAGAGAAGGACACCACCCCAAAAAGCTTTTACCCAACATGGCAATTGGTGCATAAGACAAACCTTTCCACACACCTCCCTGCTATGTTTTGTGCCAATTACTTCAAGCGTGTAGCAGGATTTCATCCCTATGATGGAGACATTGTGTATTTGCATTCTTATGCTAATGGGATTCTTGTTGCCAACCTAAGGACTAACAAGTTTGAGCATATTCCTGGTCATGACAAACTTGATATTAGTCCCTTCCAACTAGAGCTCCCACTCCCACCCCTGATTCCATCTGCAGACAATTAATGTTATTCTATAAGTAATTGAAAACTCCCACCTCAATTTGATGCTTAGCCTATTTTGATGTTTTGAACATGTTATTGTACTTTCTTAGAGACGAATGACTTATGTTATTATTGTTTTTCTTGCAGGGAGACTTGGAAAAACACATGCCTTATTGTTCAATCTTAATGGCTATGAGAAAATGTTTTCTTCCCAACCCAATTGTCACTTTCCAAACTTGTCTTGTGTTTTTTTCACCTTTTCCTAATTACTTTTTTTTATGTTTTCGTAGACATTTGTGTTTTTTTTTTGTTTTTAGGTTTTTGTAGTTTTAAAACTATTTTATACCAAAAGTTTCCATGTTCCCTAGAGAAAAACTCTCTTTGATCTATTTGACTATTCATCTATTGAAATTGAACCTTTTGCATTTTCATATAATTTTCTATCTCTTATCTCTTTTACTTACCTAACAACCTATGTATTCAATATTGAAGTCAAATATTATGTTGAAGAGTAAAAATACACCGCACATAAGATCCTAAACAATAGATTTCGTTTCATACATGACAATGGATACTTTTAAACAATGTATGAATGATCTTTATCAACATTGGATTTAAGAGTTTGATGAACTGTTTATGCTTGTTCAACAAAGACTCAAGTTCTTCCATATACAATAAGTTGTTGACGAAAAAAGGTAGAGGAGAAAGATGATGATGAAATTGAAAATGATAAGAAAAAGTGATATAAAAATCGAGAGGATGATATTAGATGACAACAAAAATGGATAGTCGAAGAGAAAAGGAAGAAAAAATAAAGATGCAAAAAAGAAGACCAAATGAAAAATATTGTGTTTACAAATTTTTATTTTAGATCGTGTAATTTTAATTGCTTTTATCTTATCTTTTTCAACTTCTTATTTTAAATTGTATAACTTTGATTATTTTTCATCTTATCATATTGCACAAACCAAAACATACCACCTTGATGTGAAAACAATATATTTGAATATATAATTTCAGTAATTAATTTGATTAAGTAGATGTTCCTATTATACCTACCGAATTCATTATTTTTCTCAATTATACATGTTATATAATGCACTAAAAATGTGCTTAAGAACAAATGTAATAACAAAGGATGTACACCCTAATATCAAACCCAAAGGGCTAAATGATTATTATAAGCTTTTAGATAGTATGGTTGTTTCGATAAGAAAAAATAATATGATAAAAATTGAAAAATAAGCAACGGTTGGTGGGAAAAAATCAACAAAAAATAAGCTTAAAATTGTGGTTTCTTTTACGCTCTTAAATTCCTTCATATCTATTTCTAATTTAACTCCTTAATAAACATCAATTACCAATATTTTCTTACAAATTTTTTTTGTCAATTATTGGTCATGAATTGAAATAGACCTCTATATGTTAATTAAAAGCATACAAGGAGCAATCAACTTCAAATACAAATTATGAATAATAAAGCAATCTAAGTGGCTAAATAAAATGATAATTTAAGTGAAATTAATCATTTAGGTCTCCAATCACAAAGTACACCATGACCTTAATAAAGAATTTAGCTACTCATGACAAGAAGGGAAACTAAATTTCTACAAAAGTATGTAGAGAAAAAGGGAGATAGTAACGAACCACTTTTTGTCTTGCCAAATGTATCTTATTTATTCAAGAACCTTCTCTACATCAAAGATGAAAGCATAAACTATGTCCATTATGGCTTTCTCTCAACTATTTATATTCCAACTCCAGAATCAAGGTGCAAGATGCTTAATCAATTATTGGACTAGCCCAGGCTCATCAAGGATTAAAAGAAATAAAAATTCATAACTTGATCACCCTTGATGAGGGTAAAAACCCATTGGATGATATATATTTTAAACAATGTTATGCATCACTACTGGATAAAGCTATCAATTAGTCAACTTGGCTTGACTCAAATTTCTTAGAGGTCATTTATTTTATGACTCGGCCTAGTTTGTTGGCCAATCAAGTTGAGCCAAATTGGGTCATTTTTCTATTTTTATTTAAGTTTAACAAAGAAAAGTAAAAATAATACAAAACCAAATACACCTTGTACGATTTAAGCCAAAATATTAGTGGCCTACTAGGTTGAGTCATATTATTTAGAAAATGTTCGTGTGTTGGTGCTACGTTGGGTTGGGTCAAACCATTTTTTACACCTCTAGTGTTGGGAAGGCATGTCCTAGAAGTGACATGTCAAGTGGACATGTCCTAAAAGTGACATGACAAGAAACCTATTTACCATTGTTGGGTAAGTGTGGCACTTCGTGAATCAAAACATGTTCCTTTGCTCATTTTCCACCCATTATTATGTTTATGGACCTTTTCTTTGAACATATTTTGCACTTTTTCTTACTTTATCCTTTTTGACTAGCATAAATTCCTTTTATAGTCATTTAACTACCTTCATAAACTAACATACTCAAAACAATCGTATAAATTTTGAATGAAAAGTTGAAAAATGTAATACCTTGTTACATTAGACACAATTCTTACTAACTATTTATTTGTTGTTGATATCAAAATAAAGTTAAATTTTTTGTGATTATTAAAATATGTTAATATCATAAAACATAAAGAACCATGATCTTCTTAAATATGAATTTAAAATCGTATGATTAACAATTATAGGTAAAATATATATTAACTATTCTCACTTATATAATGTAAAACTTATATTTACACCAAAGAAGTGCATAAATCCTAAATTATACACAAGCATATGTGAAACTATTCTTGAAGTATTGTATCTCACTATCAATCTTCACAATCTTCTTGATAACTAAAATGGTGAATAATCTCAATCATTGTGTTTGATCATTATCTTTGCTTATATCTATTAAGTACAAGCACAAAGGATAGAAACAAAGGAGTGAGAATTTAATGATCTCGACTTATGTACATACTAAGGGTAAGCAAGCATACTTACCCTTGACATTGATTTTGTTAAATACAAAGGCAACAATATTTACTTTTAGACACCCAATACTCTAAGGTTTAAAATAAAATTCATTATAGTTGTACTTACTTGACATTGACTCGATGTTGATCAATACTTTTTCCCTATTGAAAGTGATAGAAATGCATACGCATCCACCTGTAAAGTGATAACAATTTTGAATAGATATCAATATATCAATATCATAGAACACATCTGTAGTCCTTTAATTGGACGTTATCTCACAAATTTTGGAATGCTTGGTAGTTTTTGGGATTATTGAGCTTGGTTAGGTGGGGTTTCTTGTAACACCCCAAATTTTAGGACATTTATTTTTCTTTTCTTTCTAAATTTTATCTAAAAGGAATCTCAAAATTCATATATATATATATATATATATATATATATATATATATATATATCATTATGATCTAAATTTTGAGTCCTACTTAATCATAATTTTTAATAATTATTTTGAGTCGGAGATCAAAAAATTATTAAAATGACTATTTTGCCCTTATTTTTCTATATGAAAGGGGATGACATGAGAAAAAGGTTTAGGAGACAATAAAATATTCTTCTTAGCTTAGACACATGTCAATATATTAAAATATAATTTTGTAAATTTTTCTTGAATTTTTAAAAAATTTTGGAAAAATTATCAAAATGCCTATACTTGTGTACTAAGGCTAACTAGTATCAGTTTAGCCTTTAAATCTTATAAAAGTAGCAATATTAGATTATCTTTAGATGAAATATACAAAAATATTTTTTTTATAAAAAGTGAGTTTTTTTTTTTGTGAAATGAAGGGTTAAAAGAAACCCCACAAAATCAATTAAAAACCACGAGGGAACAAAGTATGAACAATATTAGCTTTTACAAACGAAGAAAAGAAAGGTCTAACATTATCAAATACACAAATATTATCTTCTAGAGACAATCCATAATTGACCATCTTATCAACTACTTGATTAGCTTCATGAAACACATGAGACCAAATTAATCCTCCACCTACCAAGTTGAAGTAATGTTGATGGAAAACCTTAAGAAGTGATCAAATGCTTTGGCTTCTCTTTCAAGTTCCTTCTTAGACCTTTGGCTTCTTGACACTTTTCAAGCTTCTCCAAGGTCTCTAATGGAGGTATAGACCTCTGGTTTCACCTTAGGTGGTGAAGAACTCCCTTCAGGTGGTGCTACTCCTAAGAAGAAGATAAATCACTTCAACTATCACCACACTCTTTAGGAAGAGGATAAGATAATTAATTGGAACCAAATCAAAGAAAATTTGAGCCTTTAGGGAGAGAGAATTCATAGAAATAACTCGACAATTCTCATAAAATGCATCCAAAAAGTGAAGTTTACAAGTGAAACAACTTATATATAGTAGTGGTGGAGTAGCTTCTAGAGCAAGTTAGACAAGGTAGAGATAAAGTAGGAACACTTAGATCTAGATTAGCCAATCCTAGAGTGTCAAGTGTCACATTGTCTCCTAAGAAGACAAGGAAGAGAGACCTAGATCTAGAAGCGCCAATCAAGAGGTGCCAAGTGTCACCTTGTCTCCTTGGCTAACAAGAGCCAAGTTTGTTGGAGAAGCTAAGTGAATTTCGGCTAAGATAGATGCTAGGCGGCCAAGGTTGTTTCCTTCCATCTAAACCAATCCAAAAACCTTGAAATTAGTTTAGCTAGGTTCACCAAATGATGGTGAAACCTAGCTAAATAAATTCCTTGGATTAAATAGAAGAAAACAAGCCTAATATGAAAGTTTTGTCCTAGGCCCACTAAAGGCCCAATTACTAGTTTTACCTACACCCTTACTATTTGGTACCCCACTACTCATACTAAAAATATGAAAAAATCCTAAGGGTATGACCTACAAAGAAAGATAAAAGTATCTTACAAATACAAAGACAAAAATACACCTATACAAATATTTATTATGTACAAAATATTATACAAGATATATACAATAAAGACTAAAGAACTAATAAGAGAAATCATACTCAATGCTCATATAAAGCATATGTCTCATAGGCACATGAAACTTAAA